AAAAAAAAAGATATGATCTCTATTGAACAGAGAGTGAGAGAGAAAGAGAGAGAGAGAGAGAGAGATATTAAGTTGCAATAAAAATAGACTTTGATGATAGCAATATTCAAAACGAAATTAAAGCAAAATATTTAAACTATTTATATTTAACAAAAATTCCTATTGTAATAAAACCCTTTCTGGTACCGACAGACAAAATTTTCATTTATACCAACGCAAAAAAAAAAAACGCACATGAGGAATATTACAGAGAAATTTCTCTTTCTCTCTTTCGCTTGCTCACTATGAGTATGGATTCATATAGCGAAGCAACATATCTTACATTACTGTGATTACTGATTTGTTTACAAACTACACATGGTGTATTTTCTCATCAACTATCTACGCTTACTTTCGAACATCAAACATTCCATTATATTAAATGACCAGATCAATCTCAAGCCACTTTGGCCGTTAAATGATCGGAAAATTTAAAACGATTGATTGTAAACTTTTTTTCTACACCATGCAACTGGATGAAACGAAACTTTCCGGAATTGAAGCACATTCTATGAATATATTATGATGAAAATTTCCGTTTGAAATTTTCAATTATTTAAAAACTATAGATGGTCCAAGAGATACATTTTTCTGCAGTTTTTTATTAAATTGGATTTGTTTTTAAACTAATCGATACTCTCAAAAATCAAGGTGATTTTTAAATTAATTATCCGTTGCTTTTCGCGTGACATTTCAAGTGGAAAGCTCTTTCGAAATGAAAGTAGCACACTGTTTCATTTTACAAATATTTTCTACTCTTTTCTTAAATCATTTTATTTTAGTCTATGTCGTCGATGTTGTTGCATTTAAAGTTTTGATTTCACTTAGTTCATTCATTTAAAGTAGCATGACATTCACTATAGGGATGCTAAGGGCACATCAGTCAAAAAGAATTTTCTATAATCCATCTTTAAGCATATCATTAGATTTTAGAATCGCTAATGGATCAGATGTTTATCCATTGATACATTTGAAGGCTTGAAGGAAAATGTTTATAACCTCCTCCTGTGAAGTCACAGTTAGTCGGATTACGTCTGATTTTTTTAAAAGAGTTTGATCTAAACATCTACGTATCTGAAAAAAGACTGTTTAATATTGAAGTAAGACGTGTTAGAAGTTTCAAAACAAACCTGTTTTTTAGAGCTTTTGAAAAACTCTTCCAAAGGCACTTGTAGAATAAAAGATGACAAAAGATTCTGAAACGGCCTTCTCAGAGAAACTTAGATGTAAGAAAAGCAAATTGCCATCTATATGGAAAGTCGATGGTATCATCGTAATCATCTATTTATACTATCTATACAAAATGAGTAAAGAACTAAGAGAAAACTGCTATTTAGACACAAATCTTTGAAAAATGATAGCGTCAACTGAAGCGTAGAAGTTTATGACCGATTTAAATCTTCTGATTACTAATAAGAATTTGTCTCATTCTTTTCCTTTTTGGCATTATCCTCTAATATTGTACAAGTGTCAGTATGTGCATATATCCATGAGTAACTCTAACTATATTATTTTGTCTAAGATTTCTCTACAAAGATACAATAAAAAAAAGCTTTATTTTGTTGAATTCATTTCACGCTTACCTAATTCCTTTAATAAAACAAAATCAAACTTCTTTGTTTTTTTCTTTTTTTTCTGTTGCCTTTTCGATGTAGTAAAACCCGTGCATATATATACATATTACACTGACTTCTTTTTGATTTTTAGATAGACTATCTCATCATACATAGCGAATGAAAATAACAGCAAACAGATCATTTCCTTGGTATGAAAATTAAGCGAAAATATACATTATTCTTTTTACTCTTCTTCCTTTCAGATAAACAGAAGAATCAAAAAACTCCTACTTACATATCCACTCCTTTTTTCTCGTGCAATTTTTCTTTAACCAGTATCGTATTTATATGGTAGGACAATATTTTTATCCCATCTCGTCCAATTCCATCTTATTGCTTTGCAAAAATAATATTTGTCCCATGTCATCGCCAGCGCTGTTACATAAATGCTGCATATCTTACGTACATTTTAAGTGCTGTTATATATTCGTACTAGATTCTCGACTCTTATCACGTCACAGCATGTGTACATCAATTTATCAAATACTATTTTTGAAAAATCGAATCACATTTTACTAAAATTGATACGGATGAGAATGTCTACAATATTTTATTAATATCAGTAAATAAAATGTTGCGGAACATTTTGAGATAGAAAATGACTCAAAGCGCTACGTTATCATAGCGTTAGAAAAAGAACTAAAACGCCTAGCACAAAACCATTTAAGAGCAAAGGTGTATACTCAACTTTTGCATTATATTTTTATCTCAAAGTAATACCAATCTTTTACATGCATTCTACTCACCATCAAAATTGAACCCAGCTACTCTTTTATTCACTATACAATAAATATATATTAAGGGCGTTAACTCAAATTTAGATCGATTTGACATTAGTCTAGGATTAATTCAGTTTTAGTCAAATCCAGTCAGATCAGAAATTACGTGTTAAAACATAGATTTCTGTTAAAAATGTGATTTCTAAGGGAAACTTCTACTTCAAATCAGTCGGTGGATTTGAAATCAATTATAAAAAAAATTTCAGATCGCTAAAAACTTTATTTTGTTTTATACCTCTATAACCCAGTCTCACGTGCTAAGATCTAGCCTCACTGCTAGTTTCAATCGAATAGCGTCAATTGGCTCAATAACACACTCTACAATGTCCTCTCACTGATTTGAAGTAAGAATTTTTCTTAGAAGCCATATTTTCAAGGACAATTCATATCTTAACACGAAATTTTCCAAATTTGACTAAAAATTAAATTAAGCCTACGCTAATGTCAAATTGGTCTGCGTGTGTTCACTAATGGTGAAATTTTTGTTTTGGTTCTAAAACAAAGTCGGAAATTAAATAAAACCGTGACTGAATATTCATCAAAGAAAAGAACCACACCGTCTCCAATACAGCAACTTTTGACCATAAATACTTATACAATTTACACTAATACAGAAAACGGATACACTTTAAGGAAATGAGAGTATTGATAGACGTAAAGAAAAAAAGTAAAATAATTGGAGGTGCAAAATGAAATAAAAAAATCTTCACAATTGATGTCGAGAAAAGGGTGTATTCACTTATGTACTCTCGGAGAACAAATTTGCATCGGAGCACCTAAGTAGAGCAAAATATAGCCATTTTTTTCCGTTTTTGTATTACGATATTATAAAAAGAAAGTTTTCGGCTAAGATTTTTCAGCTATAAAGCAAGAAGGTATTAGAAGTGAACGGAAATAAGTTTTCTAATATGTCTCATATTATCGAAACTTTTTAAAAATCTTGTCCTATCATAAGTGATGTAGCAGAAGCGGAACTATTTCGTCTATCTCATGTTCAAGTGAATGCTTTAGATGAACATTATGTTAGAAGTCATCTTTGAAACATTTGGCATGTTTATTTTTAATCTTTTCACATCCAACTATCTGTATGTGTCAGAAAGCTATAGAAATCAACGATTATTTTTTGAATGCAATGAGTCAAAACACCATATTTTAAATATGGTATATAACATATTATCTAACCAAAACATAAAAACGAACATGGAAAATCAATATTCCAACAAATATAGCTACGATAAGAACGAATAGAATATGTAATATACCATATTTTTTTTTTGAAATATACAGCAAATTTAATAAATTTGAAGTTGGAGTTTCAGTTTACAGCAAATTAGTTAGAAAAATGATTTCGTTTTCCATGCTTACTTAGGTTGTCAGATGTTGGATGAACTTTTTATTCAAAACATAAATGAAACCACAGAAAAATATGCTTACCGAAAAACACAATATTTATATTTTAAAAGGAAAAAAGAAATACTATTTTGTTTTTAGAAAGTCACATGCTCACTGTGGTTATAATAGTTTTTGATCAATGTTTTTCGCATGTATAATGACAAAAAAAAAAAAACGTTTTTTCTTTTATCTGGAGAAAAAGAAAGAGAAAGGGTAAAAGGAGAAGAAAGTTTTTCTTATAGCTAGCATATTTGGTAAAGATCTATCGTCCATACTTACCGCATTATAATAAAACTAACATAAAAATCTATCAAAAACTGAAGAAAAGAACAATTTTAGAACTGTGTGAGGAAAATCTATTGTTGACACTATGTGATGTTAGAAAAACCAAAATTCTATAGGGATCACAACCGGACTATTATCTCTAATTTAATTTTTTTGTCAAACGATCCTCTCTATACTTCGCGAGAAATATCTTGTCTTCGATTTAATAATAAAGTTTTATCAATGAGAAAGAAATGAATGAATCAATACACACAAACAAGAGATATTTATCGGACCAGCTGTTATTTTTGTATTTACTAGATACCACGTTTCTTTTATAACAGACAATACATCTGATTGGGGAAACTTCTCTAAAAAGAAAAAGAAAACAGGAATCGAGCGTGGGTACGCCTCTCCCCCATCTTGAGTTTTCTCATTTTTCTCCAGAAAAGCCGAAAATTTTTCTCGCGTTCTGTACGATTTTGATGGCGTAAAAAAACTGTTGACTCCCCAATCCTAACCGCTTCGGGACAGTCGTATAATTACTGACACGTTTACTATGATTATTTTCTAGAAAACGTAGTCATAGTCTTAACACAACTAAATTTTCTCTTCAATTTCAACAAAAAGACTCTACTCCTTCGTAGTCAGTGAAATGGGCCTTTAATGAAATCTTTGATTGGAGGAACTTAAACCAACAATTAATTTTTTTAGTCATACCATGAGTCATTTGTACTTCGGATGGCAAACAAAGACCTATGGTCTGATCTGATTAACCAAAGTCCTTTATATTATAGTAAGTCAAAAGATCTTTTTTAATATACATTCTCACTATGCTATGACTAATCTCATTTACTTCACAAATAACAATTAACACTTGTCATATTCAAATATTTCAACACGAATCTAAATGGTAAGAAATGAAAAAAAACATATTTCCTATTCTGATTCGAACATGATCGTTACGAAATTCCATTTGTCTTGATAGTTTAGCAGAAATTCAAAACATTTCACAACAAGATCTAAGCTTTTACTACAGTTTTTCTTATGTTTAGTTGTATTTGAGACAAGAGCACTTCTTCTCCAACTAAACTCTTGTCTGCAGATATTGTGGACAGTCACTCTAAAAGGTAGTTTTGTTTCAAACTCGGTTATAGTAAACGTGAAACATCAGGAACTTTATTCATAATAATAATGATAATGTTGCCTTTTGTACTAATATAGATTTTGCTTAGTGAATGTTAGTCTCGTTTCAATTTCTCATAAAAATCACTAGCTTTAAATACGATTCAATATTTTTTTCGTCTTTAGAAAGTATTTCATAATTTTCGCAAACTAATGGGATGTAGTGCGTTGTCTTCATCACATGTTCGAAATAATTCTCATTCATCATCTGGTCAATCAATCGATTATCCATTCCGTTTCCATCCAGAATTGCGCCGTGATATCCACGGTGATCCATTTTCTCATGAACAACTATTTGCATTGCGTAATGATGATGGAATACGTCAACTCGCATTAGAATATCGTCATTCACCTCGTGAATATTCAAAATGTTCAAATTCTACTCATATTCATCCAGATTTACGCCGTCTCGTACGAAAACTTGCTCAAATTCAAACAATAAATTCCGTTTTGACAGGCTCATATCGTCTTGAAAATGGACAAAAAATTGAATTAGATAGACATCTTATGTTAAAAGCAGCCGAACGTACAAAATTCTATCCGGATCAGTACAAATACAAAACGTCGAGGAAATTATATGATAAAACAAATTTTTATGTACTAAATGCAGATTGTCTAGAAGCAGCGTTATTTTTCAAGAATCATTATAAAGACTGTGAACCAGTCGTATTAAATATGGCATCGATGTATCATCCAGGAGGTATATATTTTTTTTTCTCTGCAAACAATCTTGAATTACTTGATTAATCATTTATTTTCTTTTTAGGCGGATGGCGCAACGGTAAGAAGAGTTTTGTATTATCATGAGCTTTGAATACGTTTGAAAAGTAATTTTAGTCAACATCAAAGAATGAATTGTAACAACATTACATGAAAATTATCAAAAAATATTTTCAATTTTTTCAATATCGACAATTTTTTTGTTAGACATCATTTATGTTGATATAAAATCATCTTGTTCGACATAAATGTTTTTTATTGTGTTTTTATGTGTTTCTAGGTGCTGGTGCTCAAGAAGAAAATCTTCATCGTCGGACAAATTTATTTCAATGTTTAGAAGATCCCTATAATCAATTAAATCGTAAATGGCCCTATAAAGTACCAGAACTTGGTGGTATTTATACACCAAATGCTTGTGTATTTCGTGATTCTGAATTTGATGGTTATCCATTTTTCTCACATCCACAATATATATCATTCATATCTTCAGCTGCCTACAAAAATCCATCGTTAGTAAAAATTCAACAAACGGGTGAAATTCAATTACGTGATGAAAAAATTATTGAAGCGACAAAAAAAAAAATCGAAGTAGTTTTACAAATAGCTCAAGAAAATGATCATGATACAATCATCTTGTCAGCATTTGGATGTGGTAAGACATTTTATTTATGAGATTTTAACTAAAGTTTTTGAAGAACAAATTTTAGAAGGAGAGATTTTCACATTTTACAAAGAAATCTAGATGACAACCTGGAAAATAGTTTTTCTAAATAAAAAAAATAATAGCTAAAAAGAATGCAAAGTTTTTATGTAATGGTGTATTTATCCGATTTTGTTTCTGTTTTATTTTAGGTGCGTATGGTAATCCAGCGAAACATATTGCTCAATTATTTAGAGAAGTTTTATTTGGTGATGAAAAATTTTTAAACTCGTTCCGTTTTATTGTATTTGCTATTATTAATGATCATAATGCCTATTCCGAACGAAATCCTGATGGTAATATTCAGCCGTTTGCTGATGTATTTAATTTGAAAATTTTGACATTAAACGATTTAAAAGACTATCCTAAACAACAACTAATGGGGAAAAATACTGCTTCAGCAGTGAGTTCATTTTCTTGAGATGTGTATGTGTATACTAGGTTAATTTCAATGCTTTTTCCTACTTAAATATGACTTACTTTTTATTGTTATTCTTTTCTTGTATAGAATGTATTTTCTTTTTGAAGTATTTTTTTTCTCTTCAATTTTTAGAAGCTAACTGTGATTTAAAATTGTATAAACTAGAAATGTTCTTTATTCTTGATTTGAATGAAAATATCAGTCCAAATTTTGCGATCTTTTTCTCATAGAACAAGCTCTGAGAGTTCTTATATGCTCAAACGCACAATTATCCGATTAAAGAGAAGAACGCAGATTTCTTTTGTTAGACAAATATTACTGAATAACGGCATTGTTAACAGTTTTTCTCAGTTTTTTTATTCTTTTTAAATAACACATATTAATATATTAATGTACGTGTTTTATATCCATTTTTTTTTACTGACTTTATATGAGTATGATTTCTTTTTATATTAAACAAATTTGGATTTTTATATGAATATTATTTATTTATTTATTTATTTATCTTGTTCTGACTATGTTAAAAGTGGAAAAAAATACACTTGTAATTTATTTTGATAATATTACATGAGCGAAAAATTTGATTTGTGTTGTGAACAGTTCAATCTGATTTTCTGGAAAGTCTGTTAAACGAAATCTGAACTAGATATCTCTGGCTTTTATGGAGTATAATAAAAACAAACAATTTGACGAGTTCTGTTAAGTAATAGTATCCCTTTCCTATTTCGTACTTTTATTCTTCTCATTTCTTCCTTCTTGGACATCATATGATATGTTACGATGACATAAAATCATATGTTTATATTGACGTTTCTCATTTCCTTCTGTTCTGCTGACGTCATTAACCCGGTCAGTAGTCAACGTCATAGCTTTATTTGTTCTTCTGATGTCATTAGCCTCCTTCTTTCTCATGTATTCAATGCTCTGTAAACAGATTATTGTATTATATTCATGTGTTTTACTCAATAACCCATTGCCAAATTTTCTACATGACTTGTCTCACCAAAACGAGAAAATAAAAAAACGTGTTTTGATCTGGTTTTTTAATACGAATTAGATTAAAATACGTTTTTTTATTTTCTCATTTTGATGAGACAAGTCATATCAAAAAATTTGGCAATGAGAAAGCAGACAAGATAGAAAATAATCATTTTAGGTTTTACTCTCTAATCGTTCTCTGTAACAAGATTACTTTTTAGGACATACGTTATCCATTACTTTTCTAATCTTTGAAAATAGAAAGATTTTAACCACTGCATTTTTTTAGTAAGAAGTATAAATTTAAAATGTTGTTATACTTTTTCTATACTTTAGAAGAAGAAAAAAACTGCTCATAATGTCCTTTGTAGAAAATTTGAAAAAATCCGGTCTCGATCATTATTTTATTCGTAAACCATGTTCAGCGTTATTTTCAAAAAATGAAGATATTCTTTTGTATTCAACAATTAATAAAAAATGTTTACAATTATTTTTATTACTGGAAAATTTAGATGAGCAAACTTTACAACATCATTTATGGATGGTGAATCTCGATGAAAAACAATTGGAATTATATCGTCATTTGTTAAATATAGAAAAATTACAAGATTTTTTAACATTTTTACATCAAAAATTACAATTAAAAGAATTTGACTTATTGAAATCGTCCGCTGACAGTGAAATCAATTTAGTTTTTACAAATTTAGCCACATCCAAGAAAGAAACAGTCACAATTACATTGGGTAAATTTTCTATGAGTCTAATGTAATATGCTTATATTTCACATTTTTCGATTTTTATAGATGAATTATCAGATGATATTGAAAAATTACATTATACAACAAAATTGTTATTTTATTTATATAAACAAACTGAACATTTGTCAGTAGAATGTAAAACGTTGCAACAACGAGTATCACAATTAGTGCAAGCAAAACAAATTGAACGTGGTGATGGAGATGGACAAGGAAAATTGTACGAATCAAATTATCATAAATCAACATTGTTAAAACCAGAACAACGAGCAAATATGAGTATTATCAATCCAACGTCGAAAAAGCGAAAACCAGCAAAAGGTGTTAATTTTGGAGATGATGATTAAATTTTATTTTGTGTACACGTGATGCTCTCCTTATCTCTATTATTTTGAGGAATAAAATATTAACTAGGATAAATTTGAAATTCACAAAAAAACACAAATTCGTTTCTCTCTCTGCCTCTCTCTTGTCTATTAAATGATATAGCTCTCTATCATTTTCTCTACGTATTTCTGCTTCATACGATGAGTTGTGTCAGCTTGTCTCTTATTTTTATTTAATTAGTAAGGACGCGCATTGTTTTTGTTGCATATGGAGTCACACGGGGTATTTTTAACCCGTAAATATTTAGTGCTCAAAAACTGCATTATGTAATTTTAATATAATTTTCTCATAATTTATTCTAATCTCTGGGTAATTTTTTACTCCAGCGCGCGTCCTTACGGGTTAATGATATTGATTAGTTATTAGTTTTTGTTGCTGTTACTGATTCAAACTTTGAAATACATGTGGACGAGAGTAAGAAGTGGCCAAATGTTATTATCGATGATTTTAACTTCAGAAAAATACAGTAAATTACTTTTACTCAGATAGACTTTGACTGCAGTTGTTGACTTATTTTATTTTTAATGTTCTATTTTTCTCTTCAATAAAAACAGATGGCTATCTAATTTCATTTTTTGTTTCCGATACCATGTGCAACAAGAGAGGAAGTTTAACTTACAATATATCAGGAGTGTTTTCTGCTCTACCAGCAATAAATGAATGTTCAAAGTACTGTGCTTACTATTCAGTTTCCTTTATTTTTTCAGTTTTTTGATTATTTCGATACTTGAAGACAAGCGTTTGAATGATTAAAGGATGGAACAGATAATTGAGCCATTGAACTAAAAAAAAGACTTATTTGTCCATTTAACAAGAGAAAAGTCACTCATTTACACAGTCCCTGTTTTAGTCGCTAGTGTTTCGTCTTATTTTTTTCCTTAGGACGAAGTACTGGTTTAGATACTGTTAGTTAAAAGAAAGTAGAGTGACGTAGGGTTATTCCGGTCACTACGACTAAAAAATCGTATTCTTTTAAGTATTTCTCATCTGTTTTTTCATGCGATAAGCATGAAAATGAGCAGATATGTAATTCAAGTTATTATCTACCTGCTCATGTAAAAAGCTTCTTCAAATTCATTAAGGTTAACGAGTTTCGATGAAAATAAAATGATTAGTTATAGTCCCAACTGGGGCTATTTCGGATCATTTCAGCCAAAATACATAGAAATGATCTTTTCAACCTGTCTACTCAATAATTAATGATCAAAATTAATTAAGAATTATGAAGGACCAGGCTGTATTATTTCTGAATATACTGAGTCTACTCGAGAGTTAGAATATGGAAAGGAAAAATCTGGCGGGGAGAAATATAGAAAACCGAAAGTCTCAAAAAAACTTTGGGCAAATAGGTTAATACTTTACTCTAATGATGTGCATTTGAAATGAAAATGGTGATATACATTTCTAAAATTATCAGAAGGTTTTTATCATTCGTAATTGAAAAAACGTTAAAGAAAGAAAATGATGGAATAAGATAAGCTAGAGGATGTTCGTTGACGTTTTTGCTAGTTGTGCTTTGTTACTTGTAATGTGTAAATATTTATTTTTGTTGGTATATTCTTCTCATATTTTTTGTTACATACAGTTCTTCTTACTATAAATGATAAAATACATCGAAAAATTATTCATCCACCTTTATTTTTAGTTTTTCTCTTCAACCAGAATACCTAGAACAAAGTTGAAAAAGATTTGAACGGCTGAAAGAGTTTTCAAACTCGTGTCGTGTATATAAAGGTTCCATCGGAATTTCTGAAACGAGGGTCTATGCAAAATCAAAATGTCAGACAAACACTTTTCCGAAGTCGACCGAGAAAATTTTTACAAATAACTCTCTCGTATAGAGCTAATATTTCTGATTCGAGCTCTCTACGATAGTTTTTCATGCAACAGTATTCAACTTACGAAAGGTTTCATACAATCAAAATCAGCAAAATTAACCGGAAAACATGAAAGGGCCTTTCGTAAATTGAATGCTGTTTCATAAAAAACTATCGTAGAGAGCTCGATTACGTCTCATTTTGTTCAGAAATGTTAGCTTTATACGAGAGAGTTATTTCTAAACAATTTCTCAGTCGACTTCGGAGAAGTGTTTGTCTAAGATTTTGATTTTGTATAGACCCTCGTTTCAGAAATTTCGATGGAACCTTTATATACACGACACGAGTTTAAAAACTCTTTCAGCCGTTCGAATCTTTTTCACCTTTGTTTTGGGTATTATGGTTGAAAATAAAAAATAAAAATAAAGATGGATCAATAATTTTTCGGGCCACTGTATATTTGTTAGTGGGATTTGCAGCTTTCGTAACATGTTGAAAACTAAAATTCTTCAAAGTGAAAATGCTGACAAGGATTTCCGATTAGGGTGAGGAAGCGCGGACCACTCCACTCTTACTTCTGACACTGTCCGCCGGATTTTTGGAATTTCTAGCCAACAGAAATTTGTCAAACCTTTTTGTGGGTACAACAAATGTGGCTATTATCTTGCAAATATTTGACCTGACAGACTGCACGAGACTGGCAGCGATTATCAGTAATTAGTTTAGGACATTTAGCAACCAATAAGTTACCTGTCAAAATAATTGCCAGACAGTCTTTTAAACTCAAATTCCGCAATTGAAATGAAAAAATTGATCTTGAGTGGGATAAAAGTATTACTGGAATGAAAATACAGCAAGAATTTAAAAAATTCTTAATATACAAAATAGAAAATATAGCAAAGAAATTTTATGAAAAATACTTTAGTCAAAGCTCAGCTTGATAATTTATTATCAATTTATTGTAAAAATTCGTTTTTTTGAACGTGATACGTACCTGTATATTGAAACAAGAATACCAATCTGAAAATAATGAGCAATTTATACAATATGTCGTACAACAAATTTCAGATGACGGAGTTCAAAGTAAGTCAATGATAGTACAATCAATATTTACACCAGATTATCCAAAATTATGTTGGTAGTTGTGACTGAAAATATTGTGGAGTTGATCCATTTTAGATCAGATGTCCTCCTCAATGACTAAGTGATGGTTCGGATTCAATTGCCGATTTTTGATAGGCTTTTTTCTCAAGTTAGACTCGACCAGAAAGTTTGATTCTGATGCTAGAAGATAGAAAATTTTGTGTAGATTTTATTGATATGTTCTTTTTTAATTATGCCAGAATACTGTATTTTTGTCGCATTTTCATGCCAATGAAAACATTTCAATTCCGTCATTCGGTTAGAAAAGAGGTCAGCCCTCATAAAGAAGAGCACTTTGTAGAGCTTTAAATTCTGCATCTGTTTACGTAAAAAGGATAATTTATGTAAGGCCAGGTTGTGAGAAAATTGTTAAAGAAAAGTAGGATGCCGTGGCCCGTGAACGCTTTTTGCTGTTTTGTAGTTTTGAAGAAGTAACTAAGCTTATTAAACCCAACAAACCATGAGATACACCGAAAAATTCTACATCTCTTACTACAAAGAACTTTTTAACTCAATCTAGCTAGGCAAAATTGATTTCTACACGTTTCTGATTTTGTAGTTAGTGATATTTTTGTGGCATTCAATACTTTTAATGCTACAAAAAAACGATACATGCTTATTTAAAAAAGAACATATCAATAAAATCTACACAGATTTCTCTATCTTTTAGCATCAGAACCAAACTTCCTGGTCGAGTCTAACTTGAGAAAAAGGCCTATCAAAAACCGGTAATTTAATCTGAACCACCTGTTATAGTTCTGATCTGAACCCGATCAGTAAACACTTATGGCTAGGGGTTGACAGATATGATGATCTATTCTGACATTATAGTCTATGGACTATTTGATCACATCATAGTTAACATTGTATCTGAAATAAGACTATCTTGACTTTTCACCGAAATTTCGCTTTTCTGACCTGCGAAGGAACATAAGTGGAGTAAGTAACGAATGAAGTGTGCTCTAAAACTCGGAGTAGTATTATGTCAACCTTAGCACAGTAATATTAAAATGTAAACTCATTCATTAATCGTACTCGAACTCTGTTTTTTTTTTAGAACTATATCTCACGAAACGGTCCACCATAAAGGCATTTGGATTCCGTGTGCATTTTTTTATTCAAGATATATTGGTCTACGTTTGTGTGATTTATTTCATGAGAAATATGGCCGTTATCATGGTGAACAATTGAATGATGATGGGCATTGAAGAGGGTAATAGTGGTAAAGAAATAAACGTAGGTCAACGTCAAATTGAAACAGATTTACAACATTTACAACTCATAGGAAACAATTTCTGACTGATTATGAACTAGTGCTATTCATGATACAGTCTCAGAAGAATTATCTCGGTATGATTCGTGCGAAATTCGTTTAATTACTGCATTTGTTAGCGGATGTTGTGCATGAGAAATAATCAAATTAATCACATACATCAAACAATCAACAGCTTTGTTTAAAATTTGAAGTAAACAGTGAGATGTCGAACAGTTTTCTACTGTATCTTTGTGTATATGTCTGTGTGTAGGAACCCTCTGATCTCTCTTTCTCTCTCCCACTTCGTTCTGATATTATGTGAAACTTATTACCAGGCTTTTCCTATTTGCTTTTTATTGAATAGTTAAAAGTTAGCTTCTGATACAGTGGTCAACTAGATTGTAAATTTGAATGTGTACGCAAATGTCCAACGAGAAAATATGAAAACAATCCCAATTGATTTTTCATGGTGAATTCACTTATGGATTAGCAGCGGTTGCACCATAGTTATTATTGTATCTAAACTTCATGCATAGACGGGACCAAATTATTTTATACTCACTGATTTTCCGTTATTAAGACAAAACTTAGAAACGATTTTCTATGCGTTCACAGATTTCTCACTTCAAAGATCTAAGAAGAAAAGTTAACATTAATAATCAAATTAGACATCAAAGAACAGCTGAAAGCAGTCAAAAAATCGTGTATCATAGAAACTTTTTCAATAGAATTGTTATATATTTTTGACTGAAAAGCAAGTCCTTAAAACAACATTTAAGATATGAAATTACAGAACAGACAAGCTTAATGCCAGTGCATTTTGTTAGAGGGAGTATCTTTCCTTTCCAAATTTTATCTCTTCTAAAATTGTTGGAAATGTTGAATGACGACTTTGATTTGTACAGATACTGAGAATATCGGACAACCTTAGACAAAGTATAGTCATTGCTTTTTTTATCGTTTAGTTTTGCAGTGCTAGTTTAAATTTCGTTTAAATAGAATAATTTAAAAAGAAAAAATAACCATAACAATAAAATATAAACCAACAAAGAATCTTCAATGTTATTCTTCTAAGTCGACTGCTGATAACCAATACCTTCACATTCGATGATATAAGAATTTAATGAAGATAATTTTGAACTTGCTGTTGCTTTATCATCACTTGTTGTTGATGACAAAGGTGAATACTCAGTTATTGTGAATTTTGCCTGCATAATAGAAAAAAAATTATTAAAGATAATCAGAAAGATCATTTGTATTTTGGTATTTTTCACAAATATTTGGAATCAAATGTCACCATGTTTTTACAAACCTTTGTCATTAATTCTACAACGTAAATAGCGGTTTTTGTATGATCTGTAATTGGTCCACAACGAATTCTTGATTTTCCTTTAGCTAATGCCATTAATAATATCAACTTGAACAAAGAAAAAGTCATGTTCATATTTCATGTTAAAGATCTTTTGTTTCTCTTCTTACTTGATCTTGTAAATGTGTATCAACACACGCTTCACATGCTAAATCATTCAATAACGATTCTGTTGCTTGTTTTCCAACTTCAAATGCTGGAACACCACGTTTTCCTAAGGCAGAATTTGCCAGAATACATCCAGTTGTCGTTTCAGCACCCACACTGTAAGAAACGAAGAAGTCGCTTATGTAATATACTCTGAACGGTCTAAGAACTTTGGTAATAATTGCGTAAACTTGTTCACCATGTTCATATTCACGTAAACACTTTATAATTTCAATCGTTCATTAACTTACATAATTCCCGTCCCTGTACCCATCGCCTGCTTTTCATCTTCTTTAACAACATCGATTTCTATTGGAATATTTGGATATTTTTGTTCAATTAATTTTTGAGCTGTTTGAGACATTTCATGAGCAATCTACCATCATAAATCAAATGAGAATGCTGTAATTATAGAGTAATAGTATGACTTATCTACAATCTTCTCTTACTTTTCTGGTCAGTGGTCCAGCCACAAATGCTCTACCGAAAAATCGTTTAATTTGTCCAAATTCAGTCAAATCAATTGAATTCAAATTTGATATAGGGGTAGTTTGAATCTGAACTTCGCCACCACCTCGTGGATAATAACCTCTAAAAAAATCTTTTTAAAGTAAATATTAATCTTTTCAAAAATATCTTTTGTCCTCAGTCACCTTCTCACAATTTTCAAATCGAAATGAAAACCAAATCGTTGTGCAATTGGTTGAAATACCTAAAAAGTAAACAAACTTATTCAATCAACGTCGTAACATCTTAGGGCTAAATAATGGTTGTCGTTATTTATAACTACTTTCTAATTACCATATAATAATAATCGATTTCTGGTGCAAATTCAGCATTAGTTCCACCCAGCAGGCGTATATGCGATGATGAATTGCTGAATAGGAGGCATGGTATAGCTGTTTGCATTAATAAGCAGACACTCCTACAGAATAAGAAAACGCATAATCTTACCATTTTATAATGGTCTATTGGTGGTGCCATATTAGTATCAGTGCCTCCTTTTAAGACTAACTCTTGTGTGGAAACTGCAAAAGCCATTACGGGTAACGCAAGTTGTAGTATCAGACAAATGCTCCTGAACAAAAGATAGGGTAGAATGATAGAAAGAACATACTGGTAATGTTTTTCCGTTACATACATCATCAATGAGAATAACTGTTTGACATACATATAGGACTAGCTTAATTTAAATTTCTATTTCCATGGTATACAGTGATTTAAGATCCGTTTATGATAGATAGAGAGTTCAAGGAGGAGTACCCTCTCCCCCAAACATACCCTCAAACTTTGCCAGTTTGTAGAGGACACCTTCGGGGGTATACGTGTGCAATAACTCACGGGTTAGATAAGTTTTGGCGGAGAGGTGAAAATTTTAAAAATTGAAAAAATCGATTTTCTCGGCTATTTTGCACCTAGTGCAAAAAGTATTTCTTGCACAGTCGCCCGCGTCAACCAAGCACTTTGAATTAAAGTAGTCGGATAGGATAGAAATACACATCATTCAACTCAATTTTGATCCTGATTCTGAATATGATACTTTATTACACAGAAGTTGACTTCTGTTAACGAAAATTGAGGATTACGAGCAGAATTCTGACTCGGATCTAGTTTATGACCTAAAACGTTGTATCTGTGCAGTCTGCACTAAAAAAAAATATGTCATTCGGTAGAGATGAATGCAATGAACAACTTTTGCATTGATATAAACTTTTCAAAGTGCTTGGTTGACGCGGGCGACTGTGCAAGAAATACTTTTTGCACTAGGTG